ACACACACACACACACACACACTGTTCTGTACTTACTCTGTCTCCTGATGTGCCTGGTTTACCAGGGGGACCTGGTGGCCCAGCTGGACCCTAAAGCAAATCATTCACATTTTAGTGAAAAATTCTAAAGCTTTTCAAACAGAAAAAAATCTGTAGTTTAGAAATTACAAATAAAGTTCTGCATAATAATATAATAATTAACCAGATTAAATATCCAAATTTTTCTTGGATTATCTTAGTTAAAATGATTATAGTTTGAATAGCAGTATAATGAGGCAAAATTATAAGGCAGCATACACATAATATGAATAATAGCAAATTAGCAAAGTGGGTGCCATCATAAGCTAGACTGCCTTGCCATAAAAAATATACAATTATAATACAACTGTTTCACCATGATATTTCCAAAAGACTTAACAATTCCAAAATAACTAGAATAAAGGGCAAGATATTGCTTTTTGGCATCATTACTGGTAAAAATGGGTTTAATTCAAGACTGATAATAAAGGAACACTCTAGTTCTACAAGAGTTAAGTCACCAGCTCAGATTATTTCTGAAGGCAAAGCTTTCTTAAAAAACAGCCTGCGAGGCTTGCGCATTGCATAGACATTGCATCGCAGCATGGCACCCACTTGAACATGATACACCTATACAAAAAGCACATGTATCTACAAAAAACCAAAATCCCTTCTTCCAAGCATTGCCAATATTTATCAAATAAATGTAAAAAGCAAACCGCAGCCGCTGTGCGCCATCGTCCTGCCTACATCCAAGACCGCCCAGCAGTACAAGTTCCTGTTCCTCGCGCCTCTTTTTCTGCACATATAGCTTGTATTGCAGTACACAGGGAAACATGGAGCTCATGTTGGCGCCAACATATACTGCCAGCACTGGCATATACATACCGCTTTTTATTACTTATGTCTTGAAACATGGTGAAAGATGACTCAGGTTGAACTGTGCAAATGAATTGTGAAGATGACGAAGATGACAGCATTTGACTTGACCAGTGTTAAAAGTGAGATATGAGTTGTTTCTTCAAGTTTATGTAAAAATGAAGTGTAAATATAAATTATGAAAGTGATTGCAAGTGATCTGACCAACATGTGAAATAAACTCATGAGCAGTGTTTCCAAATTTGGTGGAGTTTAAATGTTGACAAAATGGATTGCGTTTAAAGATGCTGGCTGAAGCATCTGCCAAATTGTGAAATTAAAAAGAAGTAGAGGCAGAACTTGTTTTGAGGTGAGTAATTTTTAGGTGCAAAGGTGAAATATTTGGTGAGTTTACTCTGACACTTATATCAAAGATTTAAAAAAACATTTTTTGATAGTAGTTCAAGTGAATCTGGAAGATTTGAGGGTGAAAATGAAAATCAGTGCCTCAAGGTGGTATTCCAAATAGTGCAAGTGAGATATGTGGGTAGTGTGTTTCCCTGAACAATGTCATCTTCCACCAGTTTCAACAGCAACCGCTGCAGCTCCATCATGCATGCAAGTATGCAAAACATACACAGAGAATAGACAGCTACAAGGGGTAGTTTTTAGATTGTTGAGTACATCCTGTCATCCAAAATAAAATAAATTCAAATAGTGGCCATTGTCATTGTGCACATAAGTCAATAGAATAAAGTTCATTTTCATTATGTTCAGCTGTATATCATAATAACAAATTCAGATATATGTAAAATTTAGTTTACCCCTTGTAAGTACTCTTCTCAAAACAAAAAATATAAACGAACAAAAGTCTAGGTGCAATGACAAGCTTGCCGATACATTGCACTGAAATGGAAGGGACCATCACCACATGCTAAATATGTAATTATTTTAATAGGAAGAAAAGCTACTGTAAAAAGCCTTATTAATTTAGTACTTGATCTGCTTGAGCCTTCGACATTCCAAATGCATAATCTTTCCATACCATAGCGCCTTGGAGATCTGCCATATCCTTAAGTTTTACTTCTCCTGGTGGGCCAGGCTTACCCTAGAGTAAAAAAGGAAAATAAAACGGTGACACTCATATTAATAAAAGAGGAATTATTTGGTGTCAAGTATAAATCTAAGAATTTTAAATGTACAAATTGCAATTATAATGTTATTTTTGTTAAAAAATATGCTGTTAAATGCTAAGTCACATATGTAACTCTTATATGCATATATTACTTAAAATAAATAGCCACTGAACACATTTATATGCAAAAATTAATATATATGTTGTTGCCCTGATAAACAAAAAAAAACTTTTTGGAGAAAAAATTGTAAAACTATGTACACTAATAGACAGTAACACATAACAATATGATGGCTGTGTATAATGCCATTGAGTTTACCGGTCATCTTCAGCTGCCTCCAATTTAATAATGAAAATGTTAGTAAAAACAAAATACAGTGCAATAATCTGTAGTACATTATTTAGAAAAAAAACTTATATTATATCTATATTAATTTAAATTGTGTAAAAATGAATAGCTGATGCTGTAAAGTAAAAAGTGAATTGAAATGCCCATGATTTTTTTCCAAAATATTCCAAATATGAAAATGTAAAATACAAAATAAAACCAGTAAATAAATCAAATAATGAATAACAATGGTTTTTGTGTTTCTGCTAAAATTAAAGATGTTAAATTACACCAAAATTAAAATGTAATATATTTTATATGTATATGTGTATTTATTCACCGGCACACCAGGTTCTCCCTTCTGTCCTGGTTTACCAATTGGTCCTCTTTCTCCCTGGAAAAAGAAATCACTTATCAAAGTATTGTATTTTTCACTGATATCTCATATTTCACTGATATGTCATCTCATTTTTCACTGATATGTCAAGTAAGGCAACATAATCTGAATAGTTAAACAAACAAAAAATATACATCAGAACAAAACATGTAAAACCCTTTGGTATTGTTTCAGTGATTTGTTTACCATTTTAAATGTCTGTTATGGGTATATTTTGATAAATTACAAATATTTGAGTACAGTTGAAGGGTATCATTTTTAGTAATACAATCAGTCAGGATTAAATAATAGTAGTTCTCAGTTCTACCTCTGGACCTGCTGGACCTGCGACACCAATTACACCACGGGGACCTGGCTGACCCTAGAGTAAAAAAAATAAGACAACTGATAACTGGCTGTCATTCTAAAACATATTATCAAAGTTATTGCATATTTTAAAAATTATATTATTTTTTTCATTCTTCTAAAGAGATGTTATTTTTCTCACCGGTTCTCCTTTGTTTCCATCCCTTCCCACTTCTCCTCTTTCACCAGGGACTCCCTGCCAGTTAAAAAAAGTATATTATAAGTAATTAAAGAAAACAGCATTCATCAAACTTAGTCTATATTTACAATTCAGCTAATTAGCAATGTTTGTAGGCATGCAAGTTTATTTTTAATTTTCTATTATATTTCACTGTTCAACTTCTTTTGCTATTCTTTTTTGCTCGAACAGCTTGAAGGAAAATCATATGCAGAAAGATGAATAAAAATATTTGCATATAGTCAGAGACTATTTGCATTTAAAAAACATACTCACAGGATTTCCAACAAGACCTTGCAACCCTCTGTCCCCCTTTTCACCTCTTTCACCCTAGTGGTCAAACATAATATTTTAATATTAAATATCTTTTGTATGGGTTCACTACACTGTTTAATGATAACCTCTTTTTACAATTTAAACGTTTTTGAATCCAATGGAGTTTACAGCATAAGATGGCAAGGTTATCAGTGTACAGGCTATTCCTGCAACATTACTCGTGCAGAAGTTTTACCAGTTTTTAACATACCACAACAAAAAGTATTTGTTATTTGTTACCCTTTTGCCAGCCTCTCCTCGCAGTCCTATCTCGCCAGAGTCACCCTTTTGGCCCTAAAAAGAATTAATGCAAAAAATATATACAATCAATATCTCTATTATGAATCACAGTAAATTCCCCCCTTTTCCTAATACAACAATCTAATGACAAATATTTCATCTGCATATTAATCCATCCTCTCACACAGACAAAATCAAAAAAGCAATTGTAAAGTGTGTAATGTCCCTCTTGAACCTCAATACTATGAATAGATCCATCATGTAATAATCACCTATTCTTTAACTTCTTCAACTACAATATTTATCACTTGAAGTGACTCACAAAAATATATTCTCTTACTTGAAACCTACTCATTTTTTTTAATGATTACTTGTGATTAAATGATTCTTACCTTCAGGCCATCCAGTCCACGGGGACCAGGGGGGCCAGGTGGGCCCTTAAAACAAAAAATAGAGAATCATGTAAATTCATTCTAAATGTACATTGTGATACTAGACACTGTCTTGAAATGTTTTGCCATAACTCCATGTTACAGTAGCTGATAAATGTATACATGTTTGCACTGACTCACAAAACTTAAATTAATTTTTTTAATGTTTGTCATATGCATTCTCATATTTATCATATCATATTATGATAAAACTGAATGTTTCTTGTCTGAAATGTTGCTCTTATCCCACAAAAAAAA